TTTAGTTTGTTACCGCTACCATAAAAATCAAATAATCTTTTGTTTATGATGTATTATGGAACGAATTTCCGTCATCCCTTGTCAAATTTGGTTTGGAGACAAACCGGTTTCGGCGTTGTGCCATCTTCAGTGTCATTTTTCGTTCTGCATAATTTTTGTTGGTTGCTCGTATTTATACTCCTTGTTAACTACCTCTTTCTTTTGTTAGGTACGTCTTTTTTAGTTTTGCAGTGTTTGCGGTACTCAATAGGTAGATGAATTGTTTTGGCTCGTTTTTGACGGCAGGTAGAAGTCCGTGATTTTTACCCCCTTTGTTTTTGCAGTCGGTGTATTCCCTTCCATATCTGTCCTTAATATTTTCTTGTTGTCATTCTTCTTCTTGTACAGTAGTTTTAGAGGTTCAAACAGTACGTCCGATGCAGTATTTATTTGCTCATTTATTATTTGTCCTTTGAAGGTCTTCTGTTTATATATTTCCATATTTTCTAATATATTCAATCTTTGTCCTTTATGTTGTACACGGAGAAGTTCTGTTGTTTGTCCAATCTTCATTGGTGTGCATTTATTTTTGATCATGTGATTCGCGAAGTTCGATTCTATTGCAGCCTCTGGTTTTCGTTTTTTCTTATTATAATCCCTTATGTGTTCTCGATACCTTGTTCTTATATTTCGCCCTGTTTGTCCTATGTAACTGTGTCGGCACTCACAGGTTAACTTGTAAACACCCTGTTTATCTAGCGGGTCTTCCTCGCTTATTTTCTCTTTCAATATATTTCCCACTGTGTTCCTTGATTTAAATGATGTCTGAATGTCGTACTTATGAAAGAATTTGGCAAGTTTGTAAGATGTCTTTCCTGTGTAAGTTAGAGCTGCCCAAGTTTTTTTATTGCTTTCCTCTTTGCTAGTCTTTTTCGATTTTGTGTCCTTTCTTGACTTCTCCACCAGGCCTCTCCTATATCCGTTATTTTCCGCAATGGCATATATTGTATCCAGTTCCTTCTTGTAGCATTCTTCTGTTAGAGGGGTCCTTTCAAGCCTCGTTATTAGTTGTTTAAATGCTGCATTTTTGTGTTGCGATGGGTGGTTTGAGCTATTGTGTATAATTGTGTCTGTGGCTGTTGGTTTTCTGTATATTTCGAACTCTATCTTGTTCGTGGTATCGTTTATTTTAATTGTTAAATCCAGATAGTTAATCTTTCTTTCCTCTTCCGTTTCCATGGTGAATTTTATATTCTGGTGTTGTTTGTTGAGATAGTCTAGTATCTGTTTCTCTTTGTTTCCCTCTATTAGACATATTACATCATCGACATATCTCGCGTAGAATTTTACTCCTAGGTTGGTCGATAGATTTTTCATGTATATCTCCTCCAGTGTTTGCATGAATACTTCCATGAGTATTGCTGACGTCGGATTGCCCATTCCTAACCCGTTAATCTGTTTATATATCTTATTGTTGAACCGGAAGTAGTTTTGTTTTAATGTGACCTTCAACGCGTTTATTATTTCCGTGACAGCTTCTCTTTTCATTTTTCCCATCAGTATTTCTTGTACGGTCTTTATGGTTTCTATTGTTGGTATCGATGGGTAAAGGTCCTTGATGTCGAATGATACGAATTTAGTGTTTTCGTTGATCTTCAACGATTTCATCTTCTCGATTAGTTCCGTTGTATTTGTAATAGTATATTTATTGCGTAGATCCAGACTATCCTTCAGCAGCGTCTTTAGGTGCTTGGAGAGTCTGTATCCGGGAGCAGACTTGTAATTAATGATAGGTCTCATCGGGGTGCCTGGTTTGTGTGTCTTTGGCAAGGCAATCAACGGAGGGACACTCGGGTTCATAAGTGTTAGTCTATATGGTGGATTATCCTTTATTATGGTTGTGCTTTTCTTTATGGTATTCTTTATTGCTGCTTGGTATTCTTCAGTGGGATCTTTTCCCAATTTATTGCACCCTATTTCAGTTATTAGACTTTCAGTTTTCTCTATGTAATCTTTTTTATCAATTAATACGGTGGTATTGCCTTTGTCTGCTTTTGTGGTTATAACATTGTTTGCCCTTAGCTTTTCTTTGAGCCCTTTTATGGTTTGGTTTTCGTTCTTCTGCTTCCTAGTTTTCTTGGCATTTATGTCTTTTTCAATTATGTGCCGACATATGTGTCTGGCGTGCTCCTGTTCTTCAGTTGGAAGCCGTGATATAATAACTTCAGTATCCACGATAGTTTGTTCAAGTTCCCTCTTTTGGTTGTAACTTTCAATGTTGTGTTTGAGGCCTTTTTTTAATAGTTCTGCTTCTTGCTCATTGATGTAAACCTCCGTCAAGTTTACAAATCGGGAGTGGAATTTCTGTTCTGCATCTTTCATGATTTTGTGGTTGCTTTGCTTCGCCCTCAAGTTAACTTGTTGAATGACAAAAATCGATCAATGAACACCTATAAATACTACGTAAGTTTCAAAATTTTACTGAGAGGTACTTATGAATTGGCGCATCTTTTAAGGGTGGCTATATACCTGATTGGGGGGCGTTTTAAATTTTTCGAAACGTTCTAAAACATGACCACTCATAAATGTGGGTGCAATTTGTGTAAAAAAATCATGCAGGTAGCCAACGGAAAAAACCCAAATAATTAAAAAAGTGCACTTTCCTTTTTTCCTTTTAATTGTCCACGCAAATTTATGACCGTTTTTTAGTTTGTTACCGCTACCATAAAAATCAAATAATCTTTTGTTTAT